TGGGATGAGCATAGACTTCAAACTATAAGCTTATTGATGTGCGTATTCACAATCTCAGCACAAATTGGAGGAGAATTTGAGAGAAGGAGAGACTCAGCAGTACATGGTAGATGTTGACTAATGCATAAAGAGATGTGGTACCACACCGTGATGAGGTTAAACACACAATGATGCCAGCTGAGAGACACCATCTTATTTTCCCTGACATATGGCACATGAAGTATTAAAGTCAATATGAAATCAACATCAACCGAATTTACTTGCTTATTACATGTTCCTGGTCGATTCACTAATGCATGTTATAAAAAATAGTCTTAATTAACAGTACTTTTCTCATTGAATATCCTGTTTCACCCACACAAGAAAAAAAGGTGTAGAAATAATTTTCACTAATTTCTAGTACATTTCACAAAGAAATGGCGACTTAACTGTAGCATGGCCTTGCATATGTCAACAGAGAGAACTATATTGTATTACAGTCAGAGCAAGTTGACATTTTAATTAAAGATTGCAAGGCCAAAAAATTATAAACAAATCCACATGCACAATAAAGCCAGTAATGTGTGCTAATAAAATAGGATTGATTGATTTCATGCTTCATGCAATAGTTTTTTTCCCCTAGAAATTGTTGATCTTAAAGTGTCTGGACGCCAACACATTCATGCAGATCTGTGTATTTGTATAATGCGATGCAATGAGATGACAACACCTGTGCTTCCAAGAAGCAGACAGCAAGTTCATTACTACCAATCATTCAGTCATCACTTATTGCATATAATTAAATCACTAACGATTGTTGCACTGAACACTGTATTGCCTAAATTGCACCTGTGCTTTTCAGCAGTTCGCTGTCACCGGTTTATGAGGCAGGAATATATTCTAATGTGATAATATTCACTGAGCAGGTCATTTATTATGTGCTAGCTGATACACTATCTACCTTGATCTGTAAATAGCTTTCTCAGTTTTCAAGAGCCGAGGCCACATTGCTCTCTCTGTGTTTTGAATATGAGATTACTGTGCCTGGCGCTACAGGCTACAGATACCGTCATTATCAACTGTGGCAGGAGACTCTCTCCAGCTCCCTTTGCAAACATATCATGAATCAATCTCAAGCCTACTGGAGGTTGATGATGTGCCGATTGAAGAGTGAGTTACCTATAGATGAATCCTGATGAAATCATCCTGAGAAATGAATGCAAGTGTCTTCTCAATGATATAATTTGGACATCACACAGTAAAAATGTTTTTTTTTATTTTAAATGGGTGAATTTTAGAATTCAGAGATATAGCTAAAATGTCTACTTCACTGAGCAGCAGATTTACTTTGCACTTTAAAAAAAAACAGAGGTCATAGACATTGCTAAAGCTTAAATGATCATGTGACATCTACTACAGCGATAATATGATGTAGAAAAATCTATTTATCTGACATCTGACTCCTAAACACAGGTCAACGTTCCTTTGAATCGGATCTTTTTTATGAATCGAATCAGTTCATAAACCAATCCCCAATTTTCTTTCTTTCTTTCTTTCTTTCTTTCTTTCTTTTATTAAACGGTACACCACTTGAAACATTAAGGCAGTTACTATGAACATAGAAAAAAAACATCTTACACAAAATATAGATACAGTTTTCTCACTGCTTTCGGATAAACAGAACTTTGAATAGTTACCATATATTCGTCTAGATCAACTTTGAATAAAGAAAAGAGAGTTGAGCTAGTAAATTAGTAGTAGAATCTGTTCGAATTGGGTGGGAAGCAAACCCACTCAACTCATTCAGTGGACCGAGAACCGGCTCTTTCGAACATGTCCCTAATGTTTCAAGCCTAGAGAATGTCGGCTAAATGAGTTGTAGTAATGAAACAAAAAGAAGTGGCAATGATAAATCACTAATGTCGCGCAATTACACGCAGATTATGGCAACATCTGCACATGGGTAGAATTAAAGAATTAAAGTAGCTGATTCATTTTTAAACGAACTGTTCTAAAGAACCGATTCGACAAGCTAGAATGCACTGTGCAGAACTCCTGAAGTTGGGACTTTGGAAGAAGAAGCAGGTCACTCGTGTGTCATAAATAAAGCCGTTTTGAACACACTCGGCGAAGGAAGCTATGAAAAAATCGCAGGGCTTCGCTTTCAAAGTTGCCGGAAAGTGAGCAAGTGCATGTCCATGTGCAGGTGTTGAGATGAGAATGACAGCGCGGTGGGAATGTAAAAGTCTTCGTAAAGTTCCACACACAGGTATATCAGCTTTTGTTTTTCATCGGATTGTTCTGTTGTTTTCCTTTCACAGACATAGTTTCCCATTTTTCATGATGAGTTAACGTGTTGAATGTTTGTTGATGCTGTTTTGTTTTTCCTAATTAACTACTTCATTGTCTAACTTGCTGTCTGTGTCTGTCCATCATTTACTTTCAGTATTGACAGATATTAGGCTATTAAACTTACAGGCTCTTGATAGACTGAGTTTGGTCATACTGAATAAAAATATATATATATTTCATTCACAGCAAAAATAATGTCAGTATTCTGACCTCCCTGACTTCTAGTTTTTACCACTTGACATTTTACAACTTTTTTTCCCTTTTAGCAGCCTGTGCTGTTTTCATGCACATCACAACATCACATTTTTTAGGTTTATTTCATGGTCAACCAGAGTCTCTGTCCAGTTATTTGTGTTGCATTGCTGTCTGAACTCCTACAAACCCATCAGCTATGTTCTTATCTTTTAAATTGGCTCCAATTTACTCTTTGCATGGTTTATGTACTGTAGTTGTGGGCAGTGATTGATGCCAAACAAATCAAATATCACATAGCCTTTATTGATTGTCTCCTCCTGAAGAAACTTCCATCGGAGAACTCCAGTGAGACTGATGAGTTGCACACCCATACCATTATGCTGGCAGGGCTACACGACATGATTTCCCTTGCATGATGCATCCTCTGTCATCAGCTATGTTCTTATCTTTTAAATGGGCTCCAATTTACTCTTTGCATGGTTTATGTACTGTAGTTGTGGGCAGTGATTGATGCCAAACAAATCAAATATCACATTGCCTTTATTGATTGTCTCCTCCTGAAGAAACTTCCATCGGAGAACTCCAGTGAGACTGATGAGTTGCACACCCATACCATTATGCTGGCAGGGCTACACGACATGATTTCCCTTGCATGATGCATCCTCTGTCAAAGGATTTTTTTTCTTTCTGTCCATCCCCACATTTCTCGGCCTTTCATCTCTGAGCATTTGATGGCCCTTGATTATTCCCTCTACTGAGATCCTGCCAGTCTCACAGTCTCCTGCTCTCTCTTGCTGAGATGAAGAACTATAGAGTTACAGAAAGTGGATAAGGGTTTGTATGGATGTATATAATTATTTGACTAGTCCTCATCTAACCTTGGCAATACTTTAGATTTATAAATTCAATTCAAAATCAGTTAAAATGCTCATCTTTCCAGCTTATGTTTAGTGAGGTGAAAAAATACATGTGTGATGACTACAAGTCTCCTTTGCAAAATGATCAATTGCCTGACTTCCATTATGATCACCATACAAGGCAGAAATAGTGATAAGGGATGCAAAAGACTATGCACGCTAGCCATTAACGTTACCATAGTAAACATTTACCATAGGCTATGACCGCTTGAAGAAATCAGAAGTCAGTTTCTTATTCTCTATCAGAATCGTGTATTTATTTAGTAACATATTTTATCTGTCATAAGCAGTGTTGGGGAAAGTTACTTTTAAAAGTAATGCATTACAATATTGCGTTACTCCCTAAAAAAGTAACTAATTACGGTACTTAGTTACTTTTTATGGAACGTAATGCGTTATATTACTTTTGCGTTACTTTCGCATTACTTTTTAAATATAAGCAGGGTTTGATTGTTTTTAATATAAGAAGTTCTATTTATAACAAATATAAAAGCCCTTTCACACCAAAAAGTGTAATGAATAAACCTCAGGCTGAAGCAAAAGTAAATTCACGTCTGTACAGTAGAACGCAGGAGAAGAAACACTCTTCAGCAATAAAAAAACAAAGCACAATTGTTAGTTTATCTAAAGACATTTTTGCTTATTAGTATGGTTGAACTAGATCATCAAAGATCAGCAGCAAAGATATTCGTTAATAAAATGGGATTAGATACATTTGTGTTATTTAACATATTTAATTATTGCAGGTTTGCGTCATATTCTGAGTTTGCATTTCACTGTTTTAATTCATTTTGATGAATACTATGAATGCTGTCAGTCAATAAATGGGAAAACAAAGTAACTGGCATTACTTTTTTGAAAAAGTAACTCAGATATTTTCTTGTAAATTAAAAAAGTAATGCGTTACTTTACTAGTTACTTGTTGCCGCCACCTGCTGGCGGTTTCAGTTTCATTTTTAGGTATGATTTCAGTTATAACTGCTAAAAAAAACTGCTAAAACCAGCCTAAGCTGGTCAGGCTGGTTTTAGCTGATCTCCCAGCCTGGTCATAGCTGGTTTATCAGGCTGGTTTTAGAGGGGTTTTGACCACTTTTTTAGCTGGTCAGGCTGGTTTTAGCTGCTCTTAGCTGGTTTTAGCTGGTCAGGCTGGCTGGTCTTAGCTGGTCAGGCTGGTCTTAGCTGGTTTTAGCTGGTCAGGCTGGCTCGTCTTAGCTGGTCAGGCTGGTCTTAGCTGGTTTTAGCTGGTCAGGCTAATTGATTGATTTTGACTGACTGACTGATTGATTGATTGATCACATAGTGTTTGCCCCAATTTTCCTGTCAGTGGGTGTTGTGACAATGCAAATAATTCCAATTTTACTTTTAATAATCTGCAGGACCACAAGCAACCATTCAAACTATTTTTTATTTGATCTTGCAGGCACTTAAAAAAAACATTGATATTCTAACAAATATTTACAAAATTATTGGAATGATTATAATGCTAAAAATAAAAAAAACGATATCAACAATTAACTGAAGGTGAACAATAACAGAATTATAGACATATTATACATTTTAATTTTTCCTTTCTTTTTTTATGATGTCTTGTATTTTTTGGGATATGTAATACCCCACTTGTTTCTTCCTCTTCTCTCTCTCTCCTCTTTCAGGCTCCTTTTGTTTCAGCCAGTCACTGAAACAGACTTGAAAGAGACATCATTTAGATTATTAATTTGTGAATTTTCAACTAGTAAAACTACTTAAAAAGTAGTATCATGTCTTTGTTGCACATTTTGCTTTTTTCAGACATAGCAATGAAATTATGTAGGTGTTTAATTATGTTCTAGATATTTTATTGACTGATAAATGAGTATAAATGGATGAATATGAATGAGAATATCTTGAGCATGAACAATTTTTCAACTGTTTTTAACAAAATTGGTGGTGGTTAATGGTTACATACAGTGCATGCATGAATTAATAGAGAAATTAGATTACCTCTCAAAACTTGCAACTTGTAGGGTGTCAGGGGAGGCTTTTGTGAATTTCTGTTTGTGGGACACTCCTTTCCTGACACACTTCTTCTTTGTAAAGTGGCTGTCCCCCACAATGCCACAGCCATCTCTTTTACGAAGAGAGAATCCTTTGTGGTTGACGTAATTTTCCTCCACACCTCTTCTCTAATCCAAATATTGTCTCCTACATGGATCTTCAAAACAGAAAATAAATGAGCATTTGCTTTAGGCACACCTTAAATTAAAGGCCACTTAAAAGACACGATATTTAGTACATTTTTGATTTCCGTTGACTTAAATTGTATGAACAAAACCTCTCAAGGGTCATTCCATGTCAAAGCAACTAAATTTCAGCAACTTCCCCACCTCAATTTTTTTGAGGTGGGGACAAACATAAAAAGTGATGAAAGCCAAAATATTAAATGTCACAGATGTACAGATTGTGCACATTGACGACCTCATCTTCTCCAGGAACCTGGCTGAACATCACCACCATGTGAAACAGTTCTTCAGAAGTTGAGAGAGCACCATCTGTACCTCAAACTGGAGAAATGTGAGTTCCATCGTGATATCATCCAGTTCCTCAGTTATTATCGACCATCATGGCATTCACATGGACTAGAGGAAGATACAAACCGTCAGAGACTGGCCTCAACCTACCACCCTCAAGGAGCTCCAATGTTTCCTAGGCGTTTGCCAATTTCTATCGCTGATTCATCTCCAACTTTAGCCAAATCTGTGCACCTCTCACCTCACTCCTCAGGAATAAACTCAAGTCTCTGTCCTGAATGCCTGATGCCATCAACGCCTTCCATCAGCTCAAGAAAGCATTTTGCACAGCACCCTGGCATACCTGGATCCACAACTCCTTTTCGTAGATGAGGTACATGGATCCATGGTCGGGGTAGGAGCAGTCTTGTCCCAGCACCACAGAAAGCCTCCCATCCTCCATTCATGTGCCTTCTACTCCAAGAAACTATCCCCGGCAGAACAAAACTGACATCGGAAACCGGTAGCTCCCCCGGTGGAGCAAAACTATGACATTGGAAAATGGAAGCTCCTAGCTATCAAGCTTGTGCTAGAGGGGTGGTGATACTGGCTGGAGGGAGCCAAACACCCTTTCGATGTAATAACTTATCACAGTAATCTGTAATATCTTTGTGAAGCTAAATGTCTCAACCCCTGACAAGCCCGCTGGGCTTTGTTCTTCACTTGCTTCAACTTTACAGTGACTTACTGGCCCGGATAAAGGAACCAAAAGGCAGATGCACTGTCCCATATCCATCACCCCGAGGACAATAACTCTCTCCTCCAGAACCCATCCTCCCTCCAGTCATCATTTTGAGTCCCATGTAGTGGTCCCATGACGATCAGATCTTGGAAGCCACTCGCTCTGACCTGCTCTACTGGGAGGTCCAGGAGGGAAAGTTTATGTACAATCATTCCTACTGCTAACCCTTCTGGATTCATTCATCTCCGGGCTCTGGACACCCAGGCAGCCAGCAAACCCTCTCACTTTTCCAACATCACTACTGGTGGCCCAGCATCGTCTGGGAAGTCTCAAGATTTCCCATCACCACCTCAGTGTCTGTTTTCGTTCACTATCTTGCAGCAACTTACCTGACTACTTACCTGCTCCTCGCATCCCTCCAGTTCATCAGCCATCTTTTTCGGATTTCCACCCTGCACGTTGTCTCAGCCTCACCCTGCAAAGTAACTAACAGTTACTATTCAGCTAAGTCTCCACGCAAGATTATCTGCTTCATTGTCTCACCTGTGTTCATCACTTACTTCTCTTCCAAAGCCTTTAAATAAAGTTGTGTTAGACCTTCATTTACCTGTGTTGTCTCCTTCTGTTGGCTGTCAACTGTTTTGTAGAGGAAGTCAAAATGACAATTTTCACCCGAGATTCTGAGCCAAATTACAGGGGAGTAAAAATTACTTTAGAAAGATGTCAGCATTATGTTATTTTTACACAGAGATTGACAGATATATTAGTAAAATCTGTTGACTTTAGCAATCTTTGTTGCATTATATGGTGACACATATAATGTGTTCACAATTGCACTGTTCAAGTTTTTCTCCAAGATTAAGATTTTGGGTCTTAAGAATCTTTTCTTTCAGTATCTTCATTTTTAAGACCCTGTATAATTCCATTCCAGCAATACTGGAGTCCCAGTATGGTTTCAGGAGTGTGGGTCACTTCGCATTCAATTGATACTTTTCTTTTAAATAGAAATGTCTGAAGAATAATGTTGAAACTAGAATTGTAGCTTGTTTCCCTCTGTTAAAACAACTGCATAAAACATATATGTCTGAGTGCTAAATTATCACTGAGAAGGATGTTGAGTCATCTTTAATACTTCCTGAGTTATAGGCATGCAAAACCTCAGGAAATTTTTTTTTGCATGGCCACCATTGGCATATGATGCAACAAAGACAGCCAAAGTCTACACGTATTCCTTCAAATATTGAGCTATGAAGATTAACAATATTTCAGGAAAAAAAAAAGTATTTATTGGTTGTTTTCTAATTCTGATTTCCACTGGGTGTATTTCTTTTACTAGGATATATATATATATATAGCTGAGGACCTGTAGTTGACGCGGAATGACCCTCAAACATTCTTAAAAATATCTTCTTTTGGTTACCACAGAAGAAACTTATACAAGTTTTAAAATAACATATGGGTAAGGAAATGACAACAGAATTTTCATTTCTGGGTTCAATATTCATTTAAGGGTAGCACAAATCAGCTGGAATGTAAAAGGATATGGTTGATCTTTGTTGACCAGGGATGGGGGAAGTTTTTGTTGGCCCATAGAATTACCACCCTTCACACCAGTAGCAAAGGTCCCGATATGGTATAAATGTCAATATTCCTAAGGGCCAGAGCAAGAAGATACTATTATTCCCGTTGATAGCTATAAATGTTGTGCTGTTCCTTGACTGTAGTACTTTGGCTACCACATAAGATCTGCATTTGTTTTTGAAAGATTTTAATATAAAAAAAAGAAGACGTAATTTTACTATACCAAGATCTCTAGTCATTGGATCTTAACCGTTTGCGTGAAACCTTTCAGCAACCTTGGTCAGGGTAGATGCCATATTTGCAATTGCGATAAGAATTAGGCTGTGTGGGATAGGCATACAGTCAGTTCAAACGGTTATACCATCTAAATGTTCTAGATTATCACATGCTTTCTTAATTGGATTTTTTTAACATTTACATTTAGTCATTTAGCAGACGCTTTTATCCAAAGTGACTTACAAATGAAGACAATGAAGTGCTATGACAAGTTTTTAATAAAAAAAATTAAAAATTAAATATTTAAAAAAGTAAAATATATATTTTTACTATATATTACATAATATAATAATATTTAATATTATAATCATATATAATAATGGTAATAATGTACTTATTAACATATTATTATATATTATATCATATAATAATATATAATATATTAATATTTTAATAAGTATATTATTACCATTATTGGGGGGAAAGTTAACTTTTTGATGCGTGAAAACAAATGGTGTAAAAAGGCTTGACAATTACTCTAATGTACCTTGCCATCCTTTATTTCATAAAGGCTCAGAGGTGATTCAGAGGTGTTTTTATTCAGAGGTGGGTTGTTGCCCTCTGAACTATTGGGCAGCTCATCTGATCTTCCGTCAGGTGTGCTCTCAAAAGGTGCAGAAAGTCTGTTAAGAAGAGATGGACCTGCAACCAACCAAACAATGGTAGGGATAAATATGTTAATACTTTAAAATAAAAAGGTGAAGTCATTTTATAGATCTTCTATGTATAATTTTTTTACTTACAATAATACATATTGTTATGCTGCAGTCATATGCTAAATGCTAATAAAGTTCCACACTCTAGAGCAGTGTTTCTCAACCCTGGTCCTGGGCCCCCAGCACTGCACATTTTGTATGTCTCCCTAATCAAACACACCTGATTCAACTCATTAGCTCATTAAAAGAAACTCCAGGACCTGAAATGGGTGTGTCAGATAAGGGAGACATACAAAATGTGCAGTGTTGGGGGGCGCTCAGGACCAGGGTTGAGAAACACTGCTCTAGA